TGAATTGCGAGGCAGCGTTTAGCGGGAGCCCTCTCCTTGTAGGGCCCGCACATCTGAGGTAGTCTGATGGGGGCAATGGACATATTTCTATTTCTCGTTCTCTCTCGGGTTCCTCAGGGTTCCAAATGGAAAGTTTGAAGCAGGCGCTTCGTCGGTGAGTGAATCGTGGAAGTCTCGAGCGGGAACTTTCGGCATGCATCCGAAACCCCAGGAGGCCCCAGAACCACTAGGAAACCGTAGGAGGGCCTCAGGATTTCTCCAGGAGGGCACATGCTGCACCGGGCCCCAGGAGGTTACAAGAGGAGGAAGGAGGCCCACGGGGGAAACGACCGGCGGAGGAGCAGGCAGGAAAAGGAAGAAGACAATGTTGAAGCAGTCATGGAGGAGAGGGAGGAGAAGGAGGAGGAGGATACAGGAGGCAAGGGGCAGGAGCAGGAGAGGGAGGAGGAGGATGAGGAGGAGTAGTAGGAGGAGGCACGGGAAGGACGAGGCGCAAAGAGGGCGAGGAGGAAGCAGGAAACTGAGGAGGAGGAGGAGGAGGAGGAGGAGGCATCAGGATGAAGCAATACGATGGGGGAGCGGGCAGCAGGAGGAAAGAGGATGGGGCAGGAGGATATCCCCAGGCATTCTAAACAGATTCTCATGTGGGGTCCTACCGTCCGAGAGCTGTTTGCTTGATGGGCCCCACTGGGACTCCTTTTGAGGTCTTCTGGGTCTTCGTGAGGGCTTTCGTGGAACCCCCCTACAAGAGTCCGCAGCAGTCAAATCATCTCCCGAAAATGGAGGCTCTTTATTCTTGCCTCAGGCTTCTGGGGGCCATCCACGAGGGCCTCAAAGTTTTTCAACACACGTCGTAGTGCTGAAGTTAATTTATTTGTATGACCCGTTTCTGCTCCGCTTCCCCCGCCTCGGCCCTTTGGGGCTTTGGCCCCTCTTTGGTTTTTTTCCTGGGAGTGTTTGGCCTCAGGGTTCTCTTTTAGGTTTTACCCCCTGCGCTGATGTGAGTTAGGTCGGCGGAATTGTACGTGACACGTGCCGATGCCGAGGTGGGCCGGCGGAATTGAATTTTGAGGATTTCTCGAGCAACGCGCGGGTTTCTTTGACATTCGGCTCGTGACATAACGAGGTTCATTGAGATTTGTGGTCTGTTGCAGACGTGTCAAGCGAAACGCTCGGTTTCCAGAATTCGTTCAGGATGTCTCCGGCGAAACGCTTGTGTTGGAGCCTTCCAGGGACCCAGACGCCCAAGGTCTCCAGGGGGCCCTGGCAGCGAGGACGCAGCTTACTGTAGGAGGGGTCGTGGCCCTGGGAGCGTGGACCCACGTAATGTGCGAAGGATCGCGGCCCTGTGAGCGCGAATCTAGCTTCATTTTCGGGCACTGCGGCTCTGGGAGCGCGAAGCCAGCGTCGTGCCAGAAGGATCTCGGCACTGGGAGCACGAAACTTTCGTAATTGACGAGGGATCGTGGCCCTGGAAGTGTGCATCCGTCTTAGTCTACGATGGGTCGTGGCGATGATGACGACGTCGCTTTGCTTGTTGCTGTGGTTCGACATCTTCTGTTTATATTTCTGATTATTAGTAGTATGGTTAGTATTGTTCTTGTTCTTATTTTATTATTACTATTCGTAGTATCATCATTAGTGTGTTGATTAGTATTATTCTTAGTCACATGCTTATTATCACTCTTTGTTCTTATGTCTTATTGTTATGTGTTTTCCTTTTCTTCTCCATCAGAGGAGGAGGAGGGGAGGAGGAGAAGGAAGAGGAGGAGGAGGAGCAGGAGGAGGAAGAGGAGAAGGAGGAGGACGGTGGAGGATCGATGAAGAGGAGGAGGAGGAGGAAGAGGAGGAGGAGTAGGATCGACGACGATCGAGATTCCTGGAGGTTGCTTTGTTTGTTTCGGTTTCCCGGATAGCGCTCTCGGATCGCAGGATCGCTCCACATCGGTATAGCTCGAAGTGCAGCGCCAGCTGGATGTTGGAGAGGTCCGCGGAGAGATTCTGAGCGGATGTCGTTCATTGTCCTGTTCGACGAGGATTCGGAAGAGGAGGAGGAGGAGAAGGAGGTGGAGGAGTAGGAAGATGATGAGGGCGAGGCACTCGGTTTCGCAGCGGGTGTTGGCAGGTTTCGGGCCAGAAATTGTCGTTTGGGGCGTCCCAAGAAAAGAGCCCTCGCGGGGAGGGGATGCCGGGACGTGGTGGGGGCGCGAGAGGGGGTGTTGGTAGGTTTCGGGCCAGAAATTGTCGCGTGGGCGATCCCAAGAATTGAGCTCTCGTCAGGCGGGAATGCCGGGACGTGGTGGGGGCGCGGGTAGGGTGTTGGTAGGGCTCGGGCCAGAAATGGTCGCGTGGGGGGTGTCAAGAATTGAGCTCTCGTGGGGTGGGGGTGGGGGTGCTGGGACTTATTTTTCGCGGGGGGGAGGGGCGTTGGTAGGTTTCGGGCCAAAAATTGTCGCGTGGGAGGGGGGGGGACGTTGGTAGGTTTCGGGCCAGAGTCGCGCGGGGGGTCCCAAGAACTGCGGTCTCGTGGGGCGGGGGTGATGGGACGTGGTGGTGGCGCGAAGGGGAGGGGGTGACAGGTTTCGGGCCAGAAATTGTCGCGTGGGGGTCCCAACAACTGAGCTCTCCTGGGGTGGGGGTGCTGGTGGGGGTGCCAGGACGTGGTGGGGGCGCGGGGGGGGTAGGTTTCGGGCCAGAAAGGGTCGGGTGGGGGGTCCCAATAACTGAGCTCTCGTTGGGGTGGTGGAGGCGCGGGAAGGTGTTGGTAGGTTTCGGGCCAGAAATTGTCGTGTGGAGGTCCCCAGAACTGAGCTCTCGTGGGATGCGGATGCCGGGAAGTGGTGGAGGCGCGGGGAGGGGTGTTGGTAGGTTTCGGGCCAGAACTTGTCGCGTGGAGGGTCCCAAGAAGTGAGCTCTCGTGGGGTGGGGGTGCTGGGACGTGGTGGGAGCGCGGGATGGGGTGTTGGTAGGTTCCGGAAGAGAAATTATCGCGTGTGGGTTCCCAAGAACTGAGCTCTCGTTCTGTGGGGATGCCAGGACGTGGTGGAGGCGCGAGGGGGGGTGTTGGTAGGCTTCGGGCCAAAAAATATCGTGTGGGCGGCGGATTTAGACAGGACTGTGGCATCGGGGGCCCGAATCTGTGGTAATTCAAAATGATTGTAGTTTCGGCAGCGCGAATCTGGCATAATGTACTAGGGGTTCTGGTTTCGGGAGCGCGAACACGTCATAGTTTATCAAGGGGGAGTCGCCCCGCGGGCGCGAATTTGTAACGATTTTCAGTGGATCGTGGCCTCGGGCGTGAATCTGAGATATGGCCTCCAGGGCGCGAACCTGCCGTAATTCATACGGCTTGCGGCCCCGTGGGCGCTAACCCATACTAGTTTACGAGGTTTTGTGGTTTGGGGAGCACGAACATGGCATACCGTATGAGGGGCTGTGGCTTGGAGAGTGCGAATACAGTGTAGCTTACGAAAGATTGTGGCTTGGGGGCGCGAACATGCTGCATTTCACGTGGGGTGGGAACCCAGTGGTTTTTTCGGGCTCCCTCGCGCGGAGTTCAATCATTACGCCAGTACGATTGAGCTGGACGAGAGAAGAGTCTCCAGACAGTGCTTGCACCTGGGGGTCCATGCTTGCTTCCTGAGGTCACTGAGCTCTGGTGCCGGTCCGGCTGGCGTGAGGCCGCCAGTCGCCGCCGCCGCCGCCATCAGCAGTAGTCGAGCTCCGGTGTCAGTCCGGCCAGCTCGTCGCCGACCGCCGCCGCCGCCGCCGTCGCCGCCAGGAATCGGGTGCCGCCGTCCGTCTGGCTGGCTCGCGGCCGCCCATCGCCGCCCCGAGTTTCTCTGCGCTGCACTGTTTTGCATTGTTTTGGCATCCCGCCGCCGCCGTGTCGCCGCCATGCGTGGCAATCGCACTGTATTGCAATCATTCGCATGGCAATCGCATTGCATTGCTTCGCATCGTGTTGCATCGCTTCGCCTTGCATTGTATCGATTTGCATTGCTTGGCATTGCGTTGCACTGCTTGGCATTGGGTTGCATTGCGCTGCATGTATGTGCATCGATTTGCATCGCATTGCTTTGCGCTGGTTTGAACTGCATTGCGTTACCTTGATTTGCATTGTTTTGCCATCCATTGTTTTGCCATGCTTGGCATTGGAATGCGTTGCCTTGCATTGCCCTGCAGCGCACCGCATAGAGTGCACCACATGGACTGCATCACATGGATTGCACCACGTTGAACGCACCATTTACGTTGCAAGAAATCAGTGTTGGGGGTCCCCGTTGGCTAACATCTATCACTATAGTTTGGGAACTATAACCTGCGCGGAAAACTTGACAGTTTACGCCTTTGGGCGCCGGCGAAAATAGTTGTTATCTGTAGGGTTATGAAAATTTGTTTGGGGGCTTTCTGCCTCCAAGGGTGCAACAAGGACATCATTAATATGTGCGTGTGATGTGTGCGGTCGCTCAGGTTCCTTCTGATTCGCGCGAACGGCACATCCGTTCATCCCTTTCAGTAGGATAGTTGTTGGCAGGTGAGGGAGTGGGGCACATGGTGTGGGGTTATATTCTTCGTCACGGTGCCGCATTGTTGTTGTGTGTTGCGCGGGCATGGTTCGTATCAGGCCCGCTGATTGGAAAAGTGCCCCACAATTGGGAAACGGATTGCGCATTTTCGCGAATTGAATTCGATGGCTTGAACATTCCTGCGCGGTGAGGGTAACCATGGTGTTCTATTGAGTGTATCGGCGGCGTGCGCGAGACATTCAGGGCAAGTCGTGGCACATCCATCGCAGAGCGTCTTGCGAAGCGGAGAACAATGTTATGTCTCGTCCTCCTCGTCGCCATGCCAAGCCCGCCCTTCTGCAGTGCATCCGTGGGTGTTGCCCCGAACACGAGAGAGTAAAGGAGCGTGTCGTTGTAAGTGTTCGCGTACGTCTTTGCACATAAGGCAAACGTGAAGACCACCAAGTGTAAAGATTCAGTCTGGCCGTCCAGGAAGCGCGTGGGAGTACCCGAGTGGCTCACTGAACACAGCGCCCAGGCGCTTCGGGACCGCAAAAGCCAGGGGGGCTGGACTTTCTTGAGAGCACAGGGCTTATGAGGAGCACGGGAAGTGAGGGACAAAACAAGAAGAAAGATATGTGGGCGGGGAGCCAGAGCAGTAACATGCGGAAGAGTTAAAGGAAATTGGGGGTGACGGCCAAGAGAGCTGAGATTTGCGAAGCCGACATTGTAGCGAAGATAGAAGTAGTGCCACCAGCGGTGTCAGTTGCAGCAGCAGCAGCGTCGTCAGGCTGAGATCGTCGCAGGAGGAGTGCGAGTTGAAGAAGTGATGGACCAAAACCGCCGTATTTCACACGCACTTGCTATTTATGAATGACCCCCTTTATACCCTACCCTCGCTGTCTCAATTGCACAGCACTGCCCCTCCCTTCCTCGCTCCTCTCCCCTCGTCTCCCCTCCGTTCCTCCTCCCCTGCGAGTTGACGTCCCAGCCAAGAGAGCAGCAGGACCGCCGACACAGTTGGTGGTCGAATGGCCCATTCGAGGATGTCCGACGAGGACGATCGCGATATCATCCTGTCCTGTAACTACGCGTTGAAGGACACCGCACGCGATGTCCCGCAGGCGCCGACGGCAGTGCAGCCTCCCGAGTTACCAGCGCCAGTGCCATTGGAGCGATACACCCTGGACCAGTTGAAGACGGTTGGCTATGAGGGCATCGCAACGAGCGCCGTGCTATGGCGCAGTAGGAGACCAGAGGTTTTAATTCTCGATATGCATTGCGGCGTCCGCCACCGTGGATATATTCTGCAGAGCTCCACTGACGTATGTCGAGCTGAGGGTCCATGTCCACGTCACAGTGCTGAGCCTCCACGCGGCTCTCGATGCGGACAGGTGCGACGTGATGAAGTCGAAGAGCCCGGCCACACTCACAGCCGCGGTCGATTCGCGACAGGTGATCATCCGGCGGCGGCCCGCTTTGTGAGACGTCGAACGCGGCAAGATGGTCGGACGCGGCAAGGCCGCCGCCGCGGAGGACCCACGACAGCTGCTGGAGCACCGTCGGCGCGCACGGCAGCGGCAGCGGCGCCCCGCTGCAGGCGACGGTGCTGCGGATGGGCGCCCACCTGTGCGTGGGCCCCGGCGGCCTGGAGGGAGCACCCGATCCCGCCCCAGTGAAGCGTTCCAGAGAGGGCCGTGCCGTCGAGCACAGACAGAGCTGTCATCCCTTCCACCGCGGAAGGCGGCGGAGGGGCGGCGGAAGTGATGCGGAGCCGCCTCCGCTGGCGGGAGCCGGCGGAGGCTCGGCGGAAGGCGGCGGAGGCAGAAAATGCGCCTCCAAGAGGTGAGAACGTTTTTGGGTGCAGGGTTTCCGAAGTCCGCCCAGCGGCGCGCGCCGATGCGCACCGCGGGCTTCGGAGCGAGAGGCCCGCACACGCGCCTCGCCGCCACGCCCCGAAGGGGGCGCTGCTCGCACGGGCGAGGGCCCACGGCATCCTGCCCGGGGACAGCACATCCAGGGGGGGATTTTTGTCAGGAGGGGAAAAAACACACAGACACAATGAATCGTCGACCCCCCAGGAAAATATTGGAAAGTATGGGAAGTGGGGGGAAGACAAAAACCAAGCCTGTTATTTGTGTGTGTGTGTTTGTTTATGTGTCCCAGGGCCCCATCATTTCGGACGGTCGCCAAGAAGGTCAACCACCCCGGCCTCTGCGAGGCCCTCGTCGAAGCCATCGGGCTCGTGTTCCGCCTCCCTGGAGCTCGGTGGCGGAGAGGAGGCCGAATGCCGCATAGCCGAGGTGGAAGGTTTCAGGGATGTCTGTTCGTGGGGTCGGTCCTAGATGAGGGGGCGGCCCAAGAATGGGCTCTGTATTTCTGCACGCGCGCCTGGAGCTGCAGGACCGATCTTGAGCGTCATCGGCTCCGCCGTCTGGAGCCCCTGGTGCAGCCGCGAGCTGCCCCATCCGAGGATACTAGGAGCCTGGGCCCGGCCCCAGGCGCTCAGGACCCCGTCATGGAAGAGGCGCTCGCCGCTGCTGTTGGCCTGGGGTCTCCCTCCGCCCCGTCCCTCTGCTCCCCTCCGTCTTCTTCCCCCGTCCACGTCCTCGCCTCCTGACCCTGGCCCAGCGCAAGCGAGTCCAAGCGAACCGAGCCGAGGCCCAACGACGGAAGCCCCTGCAGCGAACGCCGCCAGGCGCGGAGCGCGCCTGGCATTGCCCGTCGCCCGCCCGTGCCGCGGCCGCCCGCAGCGGCTCCGCCGCCGCAGGGCCTCTGCCTCCCTGCCTGCGCGCCTCCGAGCAGCACCCCGCGGCACCGCCCTCGGTGGCCCCGCGGGCGGCCGCCCCCCTGCCCAAAGGCGCCCCCTCGGAGCTCCCTGGCGTGCAGCCCCCCCGCCTTGCTCTCGCGGAGGGCCTGCTCCTGCCGTGGCCAGCGGGCCCGCCGGCCCCGATGGCAAAGGACCCCGCTCGCCGCGCGCCGCCTCCGCCGGTGGCCTTTTACGCCTCGGCAGCGCTGCCAGTCTGCGCCCAGGTTTCCAGGCCCACCGTGGCGGCCCCGTCGCTGCGCTCCCAAGGCGCGGGCTGGCGTCCAGAGGGGGCCTCTCGAGGGCGAGGGGGGCGCCGTCACGGAAGGGGCTCGTCACCGAAGGGGGTCTGTTCGGCCCGAAGGCGATCGGATCGTTTTTATTTTTGTCGGATCTGCCTTCGGGTGCTCACGGCTACACGCCCGCATGCATAGGGCACGTGCCGCCGCAGCCGCCGCCTGCTCCTCTGACATCGAGGGGGCCTCCGACGCCAGCGCACGCGCGGTCGCCGCCTCGGGCCGCTGCCGTGGCGGCAAGAAGCAGCAGATCGGTTCGAGGTGTCTTCGGTGGCGCCTCCCGAGTGCAGCTCGCGTCGGGAGCGCGCCTGGCCAGCCCACGAATCCAGAGGAGAGAGATGGCATTGCAGGCCCCGCGTCCCCCACCAGAAGAGAGGACGACCCACTTGCGCTGCTACATCCAAAGCCGTCTGGGAGACGGGATGTCAAGGGCAAGACCTTGTGCAACGAAGGGCCACGGATGGGTATGAGACGGTCTGTGTCGGCAGGATGTGTCGGACAGCACGTTCAGACACAGATAGAAGGGCGGGCGGCTGGAATTCTGAAGCGATCAGAGCCGAATCTGGCAGTTTTTGAATACGAGCCTTGGTTTTGCGGTTCTTGCTGGAGCGGCGATGCAACAGATGTTTTGCTCGAGCAAAGCGGGTGGCAACCTTCTGTTGCATAGCTAAATTAGCAGAACCAGTACATTGATTTGATGGTGATGGCCTAGCCCTTATCCCTAGCGAATTAGCCGAGTCATCGTCATGTAGATCCCGTTTTCCTGCCCGTTGAAAAATACGTCGTCTCTATTTGCATTGTGTCCGCGAACATGGGTTCGCTGGGAGAGTGTCCCACCCTGGAGGCAATGTGTCTGCTATGATGCAGCGGTCCAGTTTCAGCGTTCTGTGCTCAGCAGTATGTTCAACGTTATGTAGGCTCTATTGCTCCCGCGGGACAACCAGCAGTGAACTACTAGCACTTTATCCCAACAACTCTCTTTGGAGATAAGGCCTGCGCAGCGATTCTCACGGAATTACCGGGCACTCATGTGAGTTCCCTTTGTGGTCGTTTGATTATCTAAGGTTTGCCGCATGGGCCCCCCAAGACGCCATCGGGCGTCCCTCCTCTTTCTCACCACTAGTCCCCATTATGATCCCTCTCGGTGGGATGCCCCAGCACCGAATCATGGGTGATGCCGTGGACACAGCCAGTCCTGGTCATGCCAAGTCCAGTTCGCCTGCTGCGCACAGAACGGCTGCTTCTCAGCGCAACATGTTGTTGCCTGGAGTTCCCCGTGAAGGACAATGTTGAATGGGATTCGGATTCCTTGTTTCATTGATAGCGGTTGTCACGAGCACGAAGCCATGTTTCTGTCGTTATCAACCCCCACCTCCGTCTTACCTGCTAGCCTCGAGTCAGAGGAGGTGGGGAACGACGGTGAGCGACTGGAGACGAGGGGGGAGGAAAAGGAGCTGAATGTCTTTCTCAACCTTCCTTCCCTTCTTCTCTCCTCCTCCTCCTACCTTTTCCTCATCACACTCCACCCGTTGTTCCTTCGAGCTACATCCTCCCTGTCGCATCCCCCAGACGCGTCGGTTAAGGGGGTGCCAGACGCTTCGCCAGAGCTGTCCTTTCTTACATCATATAGCCTTCAACCTCGCAACGGTTACGTACACCCATAGAGCGGGGGGGGCGTTTTCAATGTGGGGTCATCGCCAGCTCCGCGCACACTCGATTTTAAATGCAGCAGTTACAACGGTGGAGGGCGTGGTTGTCAAAATGGGTATTTCGCTTGAGCTTCGCGCACTTTCGTCCTACAAGCTTGCAAAAGTTACCAGGATGTAGGGATGTTCTTGTTCAAACTGGGACTCTTTCATGCCGGTTACAGTCGTCCTAAAGCTTGCGAGAGGTGCACAATTGGGTGACGGTTCCTTTTCAGCATGCGGTTCTCGCTTGAGACTTCCGAAGGTTTAACGGCCAGGAGTCTGGACATATCTAACAACTGCGCGATTGAAAAGCAGCTCCATGTCAAATCGCTTTAGAAGTCATCATGCGTAGTGGCTCTAAGTGCATGACTGTGCAGTAGTCGCACGGGTGGGAGGGCGATTTCGCTTCAAAATGGGATTATCGTTGGACACCTCGCTGAATTCCATGATCCAGCTTATCTTACATTCTGTAGCACGTGCTAAAGGATGCCAGACGGTTAGCTCTTTGCCACAACGGAGCCCTCGCCTCAATGACAGGCCGATAAGGTGTTCGCCTTTCAAGGGGACGCTTCTTATGATGAGAAGAAAAGCGTGCTGGTACTTGTGAGAAGGGGGCTTGGGACGGAAGTGTGTATTGCAGGACCTCGATACACCCTAGGCTTATCATGGTCCTCATCCTCCTCGTCGTCATTATCAGCATCATCATCATCATCATCATCATCATCATCATCATCATCAGCATCATCATCAGCAGCATCATCACCATCAGCATCAGCATCCTCATCCTTTTCCTCTTCCTTCTCCTCCTCCTCCTCCTCCATCCTCCTCATCCTCCCCCCCTCCCCACTCCTCCTCGTCCTTCCCGTTCCTCTCAAAGGAGAAGGAAGCAGGAGGAGGACGACGACTGCGATAACGAGCAGCCTGGCTTCCTTGCTGCCCCGAGGGCCCCTCGCTGGCGCCTGCCGGAGCCGCCGCCGGCGTCGCGAGCAGCAGCAGCGACGCCTTTAACTCCAAGGACACCCCCCGGGCCTGGGCGGCGCCCTCGTTCGTCTCTTGCGGTCACCAGGGACGTCGTCGCCGTCGGGGGGGGAGAGAGAGAGGGCGCACCCACAGGGAAGGCGAGAAGGACGACGGGAAACGTTCAGCGAGGAGGAGGAGGAGGAGGAGGAGGAGGAGAAGGAGGGGGAGGAGGGGGAGGAGGAGGAGGAGGAGGAGGAGGAGGAGGAGGAGGAGGGAGGAGGAGGAGGAGGAGGAGGAGGAGGAGGGCGGAGGAGGAGGAGGAGGAGGAGGAGCCCGATCCTCGAACGGCGCCGCACCGCCTCCCCTCGGTAGGAGGCGGAGTGGGACTCCAGCGAAAGTTCCCAGTGTGAACCAGCATCTGGCGCGGGAAACAGCTTGCTCCACCCTGCCGAGGGTCGCTGACCAACGACAGCATAGAGCAAGCCTCGCCTCGATCACCAAAGGCACGCCCTGGCGCCAAGCCATGCTGCAGAAGAGGAAGAGCCTCTGCCACTGCCTCCTCCTCCCCCCCCTCCTCCGCCCCACCCTTCCCTCTGTCTACGGGCACGCTCTCTGCATGATCAGATTAAGGGGGCCGAACTGTCATTCATTGTCTTAGGGTGCGTCGCTTAAGTGTGATTCCGATGCGCGGATTATGCTTGTTTGCTGTTGTTTGTTGAATTCACCTTTCTACAGAATAGTTATTATTGTTCACGACGCTCCAGTGCCTAGTGTGGTTTTTCAATTGACGTGTCCCTCCAGGGCTCGCACCGTCTTTCTACAGAGGAAACTCTTGGGCCTCAGAATGCAAGGTTGGCCCCTAAACTACAACAGCAACAACAACAACAACAACAACCGCACCAGCAACAACAACAACTCCCACCTGATACTTCATCAGAAGGTATTCGATCGCGCGCTCGCGCGGGACTTCACAATGATCTATCTGAGAATCGCGCTCTCGCGTGGGACGTCCTTTCAATGTATTCGGACGCCGCGTTCTCGACATTCAGGAATAACGCTCTCGCTGTGGACTTCCTCACGACTTATTTGCGAGTCGCTCTATCACTCGTGATTCCCCCGCGATCCATGCATGACTGACGCTTCAGCGAAACGCCCACTCGACCAGGTCGTCTGGGCCCGCCCGCCCGACCCGCCTGTTAGGGTCCGCCCGCCCGACCCGCCCGTTTAGTTTTGCCGTTTATTCTCTTGCTCCTAAACCCTCTCCTGCTAATCTCTCGTGATCCATCCTTCTCCCTCCCCGTTGTCCCTTCCCTCCTGCCTCCCTTCCCCTGTTTCAGGGGTCGTACCAACTGCACGTGGCAGGCAAGGGAGACATTATACCCCCAGGAGGGGATACGATCGAAGACGAAGAAGGCAGGTCTCGACAGTTGGGGATATACGTCTTGAATGACGCTCGAGCAGATAAGAGCGAACAGTCTTAAAATGGCTATTGTTGTTGAGCTCTCAGGTTTATATAATGAGCATCCCCTTCGAGTACCCATTGTGTCATTTTAACCGGACTGCCGGATCGAGCGGACGGGTCGCAAGGAAGTTTCGAGTTATAGCGCGACTCCCAAGCAAATCGTGAGGAAATCCGAAGCGAGAGCGTGGTTCCTGATTCTAGGGGGTTGCGGCGCCGCAGTAATTTGCGAGGAAGTGCCACGCAAGAGCGCGATTCCTGCAAAAGTTGTCACGAAATCCCCGGCGAGAGCTCGATTTTGAAATTAAATGTAAGGAAGTATCAGGCGTGAGCCGTTGTTGTTGTACGTCGGGGGCCAGGGGCCTAATCTGAGCCGCAAGATTTTCCTTATTGTAAAAAAACAGGATGCGAGCCCCAGGCGGAGCATTTGAATTGGAAAAAACAGTATGGGCATTGGGTGGGGGGATCAGCCATGATTATTCTTTAGAAGTGAGAATTCAATGGCAAAATCGCGCTCTCGCGCGGTACGTCGTCACAAATTGTCCAGGAATTGCGTTCTCGCGTGGGACTTCCTTTCGCTTTATTGAACACCGCGCCCTCGACACTCAGGAATAACGCTCTCGCTTTCTGGAATTCCTCACGATTTATTTGTGGATCGCGCTATCGCTAGAGACTTCCTCGCAATTCATGCAGGACTGACGCGTTACCGACCCGCCCGCTCAACCAAGCCGTTTGGGCCCACCCGCCCGACCCGCCCGTCAGGGTCCGCCCGCCCGACCCGCCCGTCTGGTTATGCCGCTTGTTCTTTAGTTCCTAACTCCCTTGCTAATATCTCTCGTGCTCCATCCTTCTCATTCGCCCTTGTCCCTTCCCTCCTTCCTCCCCTCCCCTGTTTCAGGGGCTGGGGTTACGCAAACTTCACGTGGCAGGTGAAGAAAATATACCCCAAAAGGGCGGCACAATCGAAGACGACGACGGCGGGTACGTATCGAGGGTGTTGGGATGTACATGTTGGTTGACACACGAGCGTACGAGAGCGAGCAGTCTTAAAATGAACGCTGTTGTTCGCATGCCTAACATGATTACTGGTGTTGTTGATCCCCTCTCAGGCGCCCAATGTGCTTTTTCAAGTGGAGTGCCCCTTCCGGGGCTCGCGCCGTGTTTGAAAACACGGAAAGTCTGGGTCCTTGGAATGTATTGTTGGCCCTTGAATTACAACAACAGCAATTATAATGTCATTATTGTTCGTTCTCATTTGCTCGCGTGCCATTCAACACGTATATCCCAAACTTTCGACACCCGCCCATTTCGTCTTCGATCGTACCCCCTTTGGGGTATATCTTCTTTACCTACAACGTGTACTTCCTGCAGCCCCGAAGGAAGGGGAAGAGAAGACGGATCGAAGGAAGGGACAAGGGGCAGGCGGGTTGCTGAAGCGTGTGTCCTGCACGAATCGCGAGGAAATCTCGAGCGATAGCGCGTCCCGAATAAATCGTGAGGTCATCTCCACAGCGAGAGCGTGATTCCTGAGTGTCGAAGGCGCGGCGCCTGAATGAATTGCAAGTAAGTCCTACGCGAGAGCACGATTCCTGCATAAATTGTGCGAAAGTCCCGCGCGAGAGCGCGATTTGGGAATCAGTTGTGAGGAAGTATCAGGCGGCGTGCGCCCTCGTGGCCACCTCGGCGTGCGCGCTGAGCGGCCTGGCCCAGTGATGCGGGGTTGCGGAAGTGCGGTGCTGACGTGGTCAGTGCTTCATCCGTTCTGGGGGAATTCCCTCTCCTCTAAGTGTTGCGTTTTTTGGCATGTGCGCGTCTTCTCCTTTAGAGGCCAAGCACGCGTCGTTTTCCGACACAGCCGCTCGGATTGGTTGGGCCGCGGTGCAGTTCGGAGGACGCGAATGCGCGTTTCCGCCAGGGCCCCCCCCCCGTTGTCGTGACGGGATTCCACTGAACCGTATGAGCGACGCAAAAAACGGGGTCGTTTGCGCCGACATTGGCGCGTGAGCTGCCCGCGTAAGGTCGCGCCCCTCTGCGCGCCTTCTTTTTGTCCGAGGACACGCCCGCAGCGTTTTCCGACACCGCCGCTCGGGCCAGTTGGGCTCAGGTGTGGATGCGAATGCGCGCTTCCGCCTGGGCGCCCCCGTTGTTTGTGACGGGATCTCCTTGGGTCAAGTGGGCCTCTACGACGCCCCGCGTCTGCCAGGGGTGCCTCTCCGCCTCTCAGCGGGGCGATGCTGCCCCAGCCCGAGCAGCACAGCTGCAGGGCTTGTTCCCGCCTACCTCGCAGGTTTTCGTTTGAAGATTCATTTTCCCGTCACGGGATTGTGGAGATGACTTCGTGGCCTCTCAACACGTGCTCGGGCTGCAGCGGTTGGCTGCGCCGCCCAGGTTTGGACTGACCTCCCCACGGCACGAGGGTGCCCCGCCCCTTCCCCGTCCTCGCGGCACAGCCATACCGGCAGCAGCGAGGGACACTCTGCAGAGCAGAGAGGAGGGGCCGACTTAAACCCATGGATCGTAGGATGGCGTAGTGAAGGCCGACCTCGAGAAGCTCCATCGAGAATGCTGGAGCTGTTTCCTGCCCTCTTTGCGACGCGCCCCGACTGCCGAAGGGCTCTTTGTGGGCAGTCGCACCCAGCCGTGACGGTGCCGACCTCCGTTGATTTTGCCCCAGCCCTCGTCCCCCGTTGGGCTCGCAAGGACAGTGTGGCGCTCGAGACGGACTGTGTCACAAGATGAGGCGTTGTAAGGCACGACGCGGTGATGGCGTCGCAAAAAAAAGCCAGCGAGAACATCAGAAGCCGCTGATATGTATGAAGGAGCACCTGGCACTGGTAAGATTTGAGAAGGCGCGCAAGCAATTCCCACACGCCGCTGGTATTGCACAGAGGTGGAACAAGCTGGAGTGCAGACAGTGCGTGCAGAAGCGGGCACGGAGCACGCTGTGGAGTGGTTGCAAATTCTTGGCACGCCCACTGCGGCAGTAGGTGCCTCAAGCGCGTTTCGGGGCGAGGTAATTCGAGTAGGAGTCAAAATCGCGCAAGAAAGTCAAGTTTCCCAGTATTTCGAACACGTCGAGGGCTGGGCGTGCACCACCTGCGGAGCCCTAGGCATCAGCAGGGCGATGCAGAAGCTATCAAAATGAATGCCCGGGAATATTTCTGAGAAAGGGGGAGACATTTCCGCGAGTTGCGCTTGGGGGGTATCCTCGAACTTCTGCGCGTGCGAAGGCTTTTAGCTATGCCAAGGGGGCGGGCCGCAGGCAGGATAAACACGAGGCGGTAAGACACATCATATGATCGCTCACGAGAAAAAATCCTTCCCTCCCTGAGGCACCATACCGCCGCCGCTGCTGCAGTGGTGACACCGATTTCACGCGCCCGCCCCGGGACACATAATCGTTTAGGGCGTTCCAGAAAGGGCATCACTTGGGGCGCATCTCGCTGTCGGCGGAAGCCAGCGGAAGTAAAATGGAAGCCTCGACGGCTCGAGACGTTTGCCGTCCCAGCGGACGGTCGTGCCAGGTCGCAAGTCCTGGCCAGCCCTTGGCCTCCCGCCAGTTGCACCATTGGTGCCGCAGCTGCAGGCTGCTGGCGGGGCTGCTGACTCAGGGCCCGCTGCGAGGCGAGCGTTCGCGGGTAGCCCGACCCGCGAGGACAGCACCACTGGAGCCGTTTGCTTCAGGCCGCTGGAAGCAGGGCGTATCGGCATGCGCGGCAAGCGTGCCCTGAGGCGTGCTGTGCGGCTCGCGTTGGTGGTGGGCGCTGCATGGTACCGAGGACGACGATATACTCGTGCTGTTGCAGCGCAACTTCCCCCAGGATTGCTCACCAGCGAACCGCCCCAGCTGCGCCAACAACCTGAAGAGCTCGGTCGCACGCCAGCTCGGAACGACGTTACTTGCTTCAAAGAGAGGACGGTGCGGCTCTGGAGCTTCAATGCTGAATCACTCCGCCGCATAGGTCGATTGGAGGAGCTTCTCGAGCTGGCGAAGGCAGAGAACGTGGCCATCTTTGCAATGCAGGGCACCCAGATGGACTTAGGCATGTCTTGGCAGTCGTGCGGCTACAGTGTCCACTCTCACCCTCGTTCGGGAGTCGGCCACCGTGACGGCTGCCTCATCGCCATCAGCGCGCGTCACTTCAAGCCTGGCGAGATAAGGTGCGAGCATTCGTGGCTGCCTGGTAGGCTCCAAGGCATTCGGATTCGCAGCCTTGGCCACAGTCGCTATGAGCGCGACCTCTACATCCTGAACGGCTACGCGCCCACCAATGACCCTGGACGGCCCCCGAACGGCGTGGACGCTGGCGCCTTCCGCGAAGCACATTTTTCTCGGCAGGAAATTTTCTGGCGCGCATGCCGCCACGCGATTAGTCAGGTCCCTGCTCGCACCTCCTTGGTGGTCACGCTGGACGCCAATGCTCACCTGCCTCCCCACCTTCTTCTGGTGGGCCACGCTGGCGTTCGTGGGCATGGTCCTCTCATCAACAACAACGGGCGCGCTCTGATGGACATCCTGGAGGATTTCGGGTTGGCGGCACTCAATACGTTCGGGAAGAAAGGCCGCCGCAATGGCACATGGAGGAGCCCCGCAGGAGCCTGGACCACCATCGACTATGTTCTTGTCCGACGCCAAGGTGGATACGGCCACGATTCCCGCCCTCGCTTCGACCTACCAGTCAACCTCGGAGGATACCGGGACCACCGCCCTCTACAGACGAAACTGTTCATCGGGGCCCGCTTGAAGTCCTCTGTACCATCTGCACGACCCCGTTGGCGCCGTGAACTTCTCATCCAAGACCTACGCGCAGTCCAATTGGCAGAGGAGGACTTCGAGCACAGCCATCCCATCCCTGATCGCGTGCATCTTTTCCGCACGAAGGTCCAGGAGGGCATCGAGGCGATGAGCTTGCAGGAGTATTGGAGTGACGTCTGCGGCAGTGGCAAACGCTTTGCCGACCCCTCCGAGTACTTCAACGCGATGGAGGGCGTCATCATTGAGGCCGCCTCCCAGGACTACATCGACTTGCCACAGCCGCGGGGTGCTTCTACGGGGCCAGTCTTCTCGGAGGCCACTATGCGACTCATCAAGATAAAGCATCATTGGCAGTATCAATTGGCCGCTCTCTCTCCGGGCTCGAGATGGCTGACCCTTTTCTTCCACCAGAAATTCCTAGAGGCGTCCAAGATCTGCACCAAGGCCATCAGGAGTGAGAAGCGGCAGCGTATGGCACATCTTGCAGCATTTGCCGAGCGCTCGGCTGGCGAGAATAACCTACGGCGCCTGTTCTCCACCGTCCGCCGTCTCGCACCCAAGCCACCTGCACCCATCATGACCGTCAACGACCCGCAGACTGGCCTCCCATGCTTCGACTCAGAACGTGATAACCAAGTCCGAGTGGCGAGTATCTGTTCGCTGTGCAATGGCACGGCGATGGCGCTCCATGAACTACCAGTCCGTGCCCGTGACATGGGCCGCGATGATGATCGCATTGGGCCGTATGACTTGGCCGACATCAAGCAGGGCATTCGCAACCTTCCGAACTTCAAAGGAGGCCCTACCTTTACAGCGGTTTCCTGAGGCTCCTCCTACTGGTGCGGTTGCTGAGACTTGGAAGCTTGCCTTAGAGAACGTCAGCCCGCCCCTACCCCAGATCTTTCAATGCAGCCAAGCGTTGGGCTCTGCACCCCAGCGGTTCAAGGATGGCGAGACTGCACACCTGCGTAAGCCGAAAGGCGATGGGAAGTCTGCCATGAACGACTACCGCACCATCAGCCTCATCAACCACATAGGCAAGGTCTTCGCGCGGGTCACCGCCCTCGACGCCATGCGCGATATCTCCCACAGGATCTCCCCGACCCAGTTCGGCGCCATGCCAGGCCGTGGCACTCGGGACGCAATTTCGGTTGCGATGGAGGTCATCACCCGTCATCAGCATGCCCATCGAGTACGAGTACGCGGACGAACCACGGACCCTCCTCCTATGCTGCTGGTCATCCTTACCGACTTGGAGAAGGCCTTCGACATCATCGCACGGCAGTCCATCTGGGATAGCCTGGAGTCCCTCCAGCTACGGCCTGATGCACGTGAGACGCTAGAGGAGCTCCATGACGGCATGTGCTACCTCTATCGTGACGTGCGCACCCGCCCACCTTGCTCTCGCATTCATGTCCAGCGCGGCGTCCGCCAGGGAGGAGTGGAAAGCCCTGGTCTCTTTGTTGCTGCTTATGACAAGCTAGTTGCCGAGGTGGCAGAACGTCAGCGCGAGAATGAGTTTCCTGGGATCTTCGTTTATTTTGACCCCAGCCTCAAGAAGATCCGCACCTCGGATCCGCTGCTGAATGACTCCTGCGAGTGCCTGGACGTTACCCACCTCAAGTTCCTAGACGACCTACTGACGTTGGGAGAGGTAAACCACTTTGACGAGGCGCCCCAGCTGCTTGACTTAGTGAACGGCGAGATTTCCTTCGGCGGCATGAAGGTCAATGCGAACAAGACCGAGCTACTCCTCATCCCCAGCGGCACGGGAAGCAAGAGACGCCAGAAGTCCATCAACTCACACTCCACGGGCATCGTGACCTGGCAGGATGACGAGGCCCTCGCCGTGCACCCGCAGCCGACGGTCAAGTACTTAGGCGTACGCATGGCCGCATCAGGCAGCTACCAGACGGAGATTACCCACCGGCTCCAGAGCGCCAACCAAGCCCATTCTCGACTCCTCCGACGTGCTTTCAAGGGGGGGTTCAGCCCGAAGATGAAGATACGCTTGTGGAAGGCGTTGGTTCGTTCAGTTGGCCTGTATGCGTTGGAAGTTGCTGTGATGTCCAAGCGCGAGCTCCTCCGTTTGGAGTCCTGGCAAGTTCGGAAGCTCAGAGGACTTCTACACTCCCCTGCCCACATCAACAAGCTCACCAACCGCGAGATCAGGAGGAAGGCCCGTGTCCCGACAGTGGAGAGCACACTTCAGCATCGACGACTCAAATGGTGGCGACGAGTCCTCTGGCCAGTCTTCCGTGGGCCCACACCTGACCTCTACGACGCCACGCTGGCGGTCCGCGCCGTCATCTTCGGCCGCTTTTCTTTCGAGCCTCCTGGCCCGCGTGAGCCCCACGGCCTCCTTGCTGTGCTGAAGGGCGACTTGCGCCAGCTCTGGAACACTGTGGAGGCGCACGAGCAGCTGGAGGCCCGCCGCCTCTTCCTTCTTCACGGTGACCTACCTGACCTTGCTGAGCCGTGGCTTCGCTGGCTTGCCTCTTGTGAGCAGCGCTGCTTCCGTCGTGTCCTCACCTTTGGCGAGGTTGCAGCTGGCGAACCTGTTGCTGTTGTCTGGATTAAGTGCGATGTGTGCGGACAAAATTGCAATGGAGAGAAGGGCCTCGCCAATCACAAACATGCTGCACACAACACCTATGCGAATCCCACGGCCAACTTTCTTTCGGATGTCGATCTTCAACAGAAGCGTTGCTCACACTGTGCGAAACAATTCACTCGCAAGGACACGTTGATTCGCCATGTCAAACTTGGCCGTTGCCCCGTCCTCGCTGGCGTTCAGGCTCAAGCAGATTCACAACCTGAGCTTGCAGCATCTCCTCCTGTCCCTGCCAGTTATGTTCCAGCCGATCGCGGAGGTGCAGGTGGCAGCCAGCCAGAAGCGCGCGGCGGCTCCGAACCCAGAGGACAAGGGCGAGGGCAACGACATCGTGGGCCCGCTGGCCAAGGCACTCGCCAGGCTCGCCCTCCAGCACGAGGACCTCGCTCGAGCAGGTCAACGAGACGACAACTTCGCGATGGTTCTCAAGCCGCAGTGCGCTCTGGCGAACGCGCTGGAGCAGACGAGGACGAGGGTAGCAAGGCCAAGGAGAAGGCGAGCGAGCAGGGCAGCCAGTTCTTGGGCAACCCGCTGGGCAAGCGGCCCGACGCGCTGGCCCGCGCCGTGGTCTTTCGCATCATGGAGGCGGTGCTCCTCAAGAGGCAGCAGGTGACGGAGGCCGTGTCGCAGGGGGCCGAACCCGAGGCAGCGCAGGCAGCGCTGGAGGCGCTGCTGCAGATGGGCAAGCTGGCACAGAACACCGAGGCGAAGTTCGTGGCCACTCGCTGCTTTCGGATCCAGGTCAGCCGCAACGAGGGCGACAGCAACGAGGAGGGCGAAACCAGGTGGATCTTCGCGGTGAACCACTACCCAGGGTTCAAGGCAGCGCTCAACACGCTGCGGACCAACGGAGCCTTGACCGCCGCGGGTATCGTCCTCCAGTACGACATCGCGACGAGGTCCAAGGCAGCCAAGCTGGTAGAGACCCTGGCGTTCCGCTCGGGCAGTGGCTCCGCCAGCGGCGGCAAGAAGAAGCAGAAACGCAAGTGAGAACAGGAGCAGCCAAGCCAGTCGAGGCTCGGGAACCCTGCCTTGCTCTCTCCCCTCGTCCGCCTCCGTCGACGGCGACGTCTCGCCCCCTCTCTCGCCCCTCGGCTGGACAGAGGACTCTCACGAGTTTTTTGTTTTCAGGTTGCAGCCCAGGGATCCCGCTCAGTAAACTTCCTTCGAGCCTGGATTCCTGCGGCCAGTGTTGGGGCCTCGCTTTTGTGGGGGTGCGCCTCTCTCCACCAGAGGGAGGGGGGAGCCGCCTTCACCGTGCCTCCCCTGCAGAGGCAGGGGAGCGTGAGGCGCGGGGCAACGGCCCAGCGGCCGCCGCCCACGCGTTTCCGTCGGTTTTGTGTCTCAGGGCTCCTCCGATCTTATCGGTAGCGCCGCGTTTCTAGCGGTAGGTTTCTTCCAGATTGCCCTCGCAAAACTTCCTTGGGAATGGGAGTAGCGTTTGAAAAAGGAAGTAAAATGGTGGTGCATCCGCTGGCAGAAGGAGGTGTAAGCAAGAGTGATACGCAAACAGTATTTCGGCGTCTCCCTGCTTCCATCCCTTCCCCAGAAATCAGCGGCTGGCTCGGCTTTTCCCAGGATGGACCCCCTGACTCTCCACCCTTCCCCCCGAAGCCAGCTTGTTGCTCTGAAACGTTGCCCGATGGTCCCGGGGCCCGACATCACAGCCTCCTGAGGTTCCACAATGGCGGGAAGCTGGCCGCCGCGAAGTTGATCGAGCCGCTGGATGGTTGGGTCCCTCCCTCCTCTCTCCTGCTCCCTCCGTCCTCTATCGACGCTCATGGCGACGAACATGTTCATGCGCCATGCCCTCGCAGTCTGGATTCCGAGGCGGGATCCCATGGATACGCGACATCATGGACACATTCCGCGCGGGGCACGCGCGCAAAGCCACCGATTATCCACGGGAGCGCCACCGAGGAGTTTAGACCGCGAGGCCAAATGGTTGTCATAACGGCGCAGGCGATGGTCATTATGGTAATTCCAGTGGTTCCCTTTTCCCTTCTCTTTCTCCTCCTCCTCCTCCTCCTCCTCCTCCTCCTCCTCCTCCTCCTCCTCCTCCTCCTCCTCCTCCTCCTCCTCCTCCTCCTCCTCCTCCCCCCTCCTCCTCCTCCTCCTCCTCCTCCTCCTCCTCCTCCTCCTCCTCCTCCTCCTCCTCCTCCTCCTCCTCCTCCTCCTCCTCCTCCTCCTCCTCCTCCTCCTCCTCCTCCTCCTCCCCTCCTCCTCCTCCTCCTCCTCCTCCTCCTCCTCCTCCTCCTCCTCCTCCTCTCTCCTCTCCTCCTCCTCCTCCTCCTCCTCCTCCTCCTCCTCCTCCTCCTCCTCCTCCTCCTCCTCCTCCTCCTCCTCCTCCTCCTCCTCCTCCTCCTCCTCCTCCTCTCCTCCTCCTCCTCCTCCTCCTCCCTCCTCCTACTACTCCTCCTCATCCTCCTCCTCCCTCTCCTGCTCCTGCCCCTTGCCTCCTGTATCCTCCTCCTCCTTCTCCTCATCCTCCTCCATGACTGCTTCAGCATTGCCTTCTTCGTTTTCCTGCCTGCTCCTCCTCCGCCGATCGTTTCCCCCTTGGGCCCCCTGCCTCCTCTTGTAACCTCCGGGGGCCCGGTGCAGCATGTGCCCTCCAGGAGAAATCTTGAGGCCCTCCTACGGTTTCCTAGTGGTTCTGGGGCCTCCTGGGGTTTCGGATACATTCCGAAAGTTCCCGCTCGAGACTTCCACGATTCACACACCGACGAAGCTCCTGCTTGAAACTTCCCATTTGGAACCCATTTGGAACCCTGGAGCATTGTCTTCTCTTCCTCCTCCTCCTCCTCCCCCTCCTCCTCGTCGTCCTCCTCCTCCTGCTCCCCCTCCTCATCCTGCTCCTCCTCCTCCTCCTCCTCCTCTTCCGCCTCCTCCTGTGCTTTTGAATTTAGAATTAGATTTCAACGTCAAGTTCCTCTTGGATTTCTCGGGGAGATCGGTAGGGAGTCTGCGGGCCTCCCCCTCCCTGTGGGCCACCGCGTGCCTGTGCAGGGGTACTCTGTGGCCGGAGAGCGTGAGAAGCTTGTGCGGCCGCCCCACCTCGCTTCTCGCTGGCAAGAGTGGGCACTGATCAGAGAGGACGCCGTTGCTATCGTGGCCGATGTGCCGCCCTTGGAGACCTGTCCACACAGGCGCTAGGAAAGGGAGGGAAAAAGGATATGAGATGGTTGCCGCACACGTTCCGCCTGCCCGAAGGACACGTCCCCACTGTCTCCCTCTCTCTCTCTCTATCCTCTCTCTCTCTCTCTCTCTCTCCTCTCTCTCTCTCTCTCTCTCTCTCTCTCTCTCTCTCTCTCCCCAGACCTCTGACATCGTGATTTGCTCGCAACGTGGACCCCCCGGAGGTCTCGGTCCCTTCCCCCAGACCAACGTTTCATCCCGAGTCCTTTCCTGACGCTCCTGGGTCCTGGCGACGGCCCTTGGAGCCCGAATGTGGCCCACAATGTTGCCGTCGTAGTTCTGTCGTGGCGTGACCCAGAGATCCCATGTATTAATTTCTGCAGCTCGGGATCCCCAGACTTTCCAGCCCTTTCCCCAGGGCCGGCTTTTCATCCCGATGCGTTTTCCGATTCTCCTGGAACTCGGCGAGGGCCTCTCGAAAACAGGAAGTGGCCCCCAAAAATGTTTATTTGTCGCGGCGCGAAATGGTATGTTGGGTCCAGTGGTCAGCAGTCGACCCCTGGATGTGCTAAGGGGCGCACCCCGACTAGGACCTCCAGCCGGATCCGGCCGTGGCGACGAGAAGCCCCGCGGAGGCCCCAGAGAGGAGAAACCCCCCCAAAAAGAAAGTGCAGGCCCGATCCTCGAACGGCGCCGCACCTCCTCCTCCTCCTCCTCCTCCTCCTCCTCCGCCGCCTCCTCCCTCTCCTCCTCCTCCTCCTCCTCCTCCCCCCCTCCTCCTCCTCCTCCTCCTCCTCCTCCTCCTCCCTCCCCTCCTCCTCCTCCTCCTCCCCCCCCCCCCTCCCTCCTCCTCCCTCCTCCTCCTCCTCCTCCTCCTCCTCCTCCTCCTCCTCCTCCTCCTCCTCCTCCTCCTCCGGACCTCCTCGGAAGGCGCGAGGGCTTCTGAGAAGCCCCGCGGACTCCTGAGAAGGCCTGCCTCCTCTTGCGCCCTCCCCCCTGGGCTCGCCGACAATCCCCCAAAGGACGCCTCCTCGCCGCCGTCGCCACGCTGCCTCGCGGGCGCCGGCCCGCCCTCCCTCGCGGCGCCGTCGGAGGCCGAGGCGTCCGGCGCCGCCGAGGAGGGTCGCGCGGCAGAGCGCGCAGAAGCCGTCGTCGCCGTCGCGGGAGCGCTGTGGGGCTGGGCCTCCCACATGGGGCCCGAGCAGATGTGTCGACGATGCGGCGTGATCCTCCGACCGGATCTACTCGGACCCCATGTGGGAGGCCTCGAGTGATGGAGGCGAGGGGGCGGATTTCCGATTGTGTCGTCGGCTGTCGGCGATGTTCCAGCATCGGGATGCTCTCCAGCAGCTGCGCCTCAGCGAGAGCGTTCCGGCCTCAGCGAGAGCGTTCCGGTGACCCGAAAGCCACGGGGCAACAGCCTTGGGCCCAGACATCCGACGGCTCGAAGAAATCGAGGCGACGGGTGTTTCTCCATGTTCGGTCTCTGCGAGCCGTTGTCGGGCCGCGGGACCGTGTAAGCACGATTCGGGGTGAGAAACCATCCCGCGGGACGCCATCCGGTGGCTCGAAGATGGGGCCCTGCGGGATGGGGCCTTGGGCAAAGCAGCCAAGACGAGGAGCTGAGGGCCTCGAGCGTTGCAGCGTTCAAAGTCTTGTCGAGCACGAAGCCCGAGCTGCAGCTGGTCGCGCCGAAGTCGTGGGCGCGAGCCACGCTCGCGAGCCCGCTGCTCCTGTTTTCCCAGGCGCGGGCCCATTCGCGGGGCGGGAGCTGGAGCGCGCAGGAGCTGCATGGCCCGAGTTGCCGCTGGCACACATAATCTACTGAAGGGCCTCCCGTGCACGCGAGCGAGATCGCTCTTCGCCGTGGAGCGCAGCAGCGCAGAGACTGCAGGGCGCGCGGCCTGGAGCTTCAGCTCCAGGCGCGCGGCGGAGAAGGAGGAGGAAAGGGGCAGGTCATGTATGGTTGCTTGTTTGCATCACTCTCCCTTACTTGCACTGCCGAAGACTCGCTACTCTGCACTGTGGGGCCGCCATTCCTTTATTATCTTGTCGCACTTTTATATTTGTACCAGTTCGCAGCCTAATTTGTTTTGCTCGTTTCGCCAACTCGGCCGATATTTCTGCATTTCCCGAACGCTGCAGCCGAACAGCTGAAGGGCAGGGCGCTGGGGGGGGCGCGGCAAGGCGCACTCAAACAGCCTCTGCAACGACGAGGGTGAAACCGACAAAGCACAGTCCGCACTGAAAAGAAAACACTGCGAGGCACTTCCGCCGCGCATTGCAGCGCGCTTTGAAGTTTCATCGGGAAAACGTCTCAATATCCGAAAAGTGTCCCATCTGAAACTGAGAACTTTTAATGTGCATAGCTGTTGAGCTCAACGCTGTAACATTGATAGCAAGTAACGGCACCGAAAGTCCGCCGCAACAAACACGCAAGGCCAACGAACAACGCACTCAGCAACAACGCAAACCCTACGCACAGCAAATGTTAGCCCCTGGACGCTACAGATGTCCGGTCTGGACACAAAACTGAGACGTGTGACACTGTGGCGCTTTTGTCGTTGGAAGCTTGTGCGTTGCATTGTTGCCAGCAGCTCCCCCGTCGTACAGGAGGGGCCCTGTTCTGGAAGCGTATCGAAAGGGCGGTTCAGTGAGCCACTGCCGTCCTGGCCGCTCCTGGCTCGCAAGTCCCTTGGGCGTCCCATCCAAAGCGTCGAAAAACTCATGTGGCCAGAGCGTCGGGGAGAACCAGCTGATCTCGTGGGTTTTTTT